TCTCATCTTACAATAATCCAGTGCCCAGACACGAAGATTTCTGTTTATCAACACAAGACCGTAAGCGCATACATAACAAGTTTATGGATAAAGAACGACAGCAATTACTCAGTGAGTCGACATTTAATCTAAATAATAGTGGATCCAAAATCCTGAAAGTGGGTCTAGACGTATTTGAAGATTGCCCCTGTGTCAAGATACAAGGCAAGGATCGGAGCATATATTTTTCAAAGAGTGCCTTCGAGAGTTTTTTAAGCGAATTAGAAGACATCGTCGGAGCAGTAAAGCGCGAGGAAGAAGATGAAACTTTCGATCTAGAAGATTTTCATGTACGGTGCTGCAGAAAATATAAAGCTTCGCGTATCATTTCGAAGAAAGAAATCCACTGTGAACTGTACTTGGGACTCGTCACCCTGGAAAAAGTGATCGCTATGGCAGACTACTTACGTCAGAAGCTTAATTATTTGGGTAATTATTTGGAAGGTAATGATTGTCCTTTCAAAAACTTTGTAGAAAAAGTTGTGGACATTCTGGATAGACGTCAGCAAAAAGATGTGAGTTATAACGATTTGCTAACAAATTTAACTACTGAACCTTTAGTTATACATGAATTAGTCCATAAGTATCCGTATTTTGTGATTGATAAGATAGAGGATTATATGCAAACTTATGATGATAGGTTCTTGTACAAATAAATGTAAATAAATATAAATGTAAGTTCTACATTCTTTTAATCAGTTTGGTGTTATACTTCGAGACATTACAATGGAAAATAAATTTCTTCATCCATTTTCCGCTCTTGTAAGTGGCCCAAGCGGGTCGGGAAAGAGTTATTTTATTGTAAACTTTCTAAAAAATATAACAAACATCTGCTCTGTACTGTTTGAAAAAATAGTTTGGCATTACGGGGAATGGCAGTCATTGTACGAAGATCTAAAAGGTGTTGAATTCCATCAAGGCTTACCCGATATGTCCAGTTTCGATGGCTTAAAACCTGTACTGATAATTATTGATGATTTAATGCGTGAATCAAATGGAGCTATTGTTGACATTTTTTACAAAAGGATGTCATCATCGTAACCTCAGTGTTTTCTTTCTAACCCAAAACATATTTCATCAAGGAAAAGGACAGAGAGATATATCTTTAAATGCACACTACATTATTTTATTCAAAAATCCCCGAGATCGGGCACAAATAAAGCATTTAACGCGGCAAATTTGCCCTGAAAACTCCAAATTTTTAGAAGAAGCGTATAATGATGCAACGTCTAAACCCCACGGATATCTGTTATTCGATTTAAAACAAAGTACACCGGATGTTTTCCGCTATAGAACATCGATATTTGAAGAAGATGGCGCTTGTGTGGTATATATACCAAAAAAGGGTATTAAAGGTTTGAATCTTGAGCAATTGGTACATTCATAATGGTTTCAAAGTTGACGAAACATTCCGAGTTGCTTCGTGCTCTCTCAAAATTGGGACCAAAGGAGCGGTTAGCGTTGATAAAATGTTTGGACGACAATCAAATTGAATGCATATGTGAGTGTATTTACAACACTTTAAAAGGACAAGTCGATTTGACCGCTGATCAGAAGCGAAGTCTCGCTCGTCATAAAACCATCTTACGGCGTATGGTAACGTCCCGTGAAAAGATAAAAAAGAAGAAACAGATACTAATTCAAAACGGAGGTGCATTCTTGCCATTTGTGCTAGGTCCGTTACTTGGTGGCTTACTCGGAAGTCTTTTTCAATAATCATGGAACACGCAAAGAAAATGTTACTCGTGCCGCAGGAAGTTATGCAACGAATTAAAGCTGGTGAAACTAGGAAAGACGATGTTTTATCGCAAATTGATGATGAAATGTCCCAAGTATTAAGTTCTAACTTAAGTCCGTATGAAAAGTGGCAACAGTATTCTCAAGTTTTACAAAAATATTTACATTTTTCGGAACAAATGCGAAAACCTGTAAGCATAGCAATTGAAACAAAGCCTACGGGAATATCACAAGATGAAATAATAGCTTCAATGCCACAAACTTTTAAGAAAAAAGCCGAAAGTTTTCTACGAATACTCAACGCTTCGGGTGATATTTTATGGGACAATAGAGGAATTGTCACAATAAAAGGCGAAGTAATCCCGTCATCGAATATTATTGACTTAATACACGACACAGTAAGACCGCGTCAATCAACAAATCCAGAAGGTGGCCGACAGTTTGCAGATTTCGTAAAAGAAATTAATGTTCCTCAAGAATTTATTGGCAAAAAACAAAGTGTTGTAAAAACCGAAGATATTATTTCGAAACGCCCAAAAATTACTGTGAACCCTGTTCAAGACGTTACCGCAAAACGGACGAGAAGTGCACTTAAGCAACCGGATACGAGAAAACGTTCCAAAAGTTCTGGTGGGCTACAGCGAGGTGGATGGAATACTTCTAAACGATTGCATATTCCCGCATGGAAAACCTTTAAACTTTAAGTAGATGGAAAGCATATATTATGATCCTTCACATCCTGCCGGATTCGGTGGAGTTTCCTCCTTGTCTTCAGCGTTAAAAAATAGATATTCAACTGAGGATGTAAAAGCATGGTTACAAAAACAAGAAGCATATACTGTGCACAAGCCCGTTAAAAGAAAATTTCAACGCAACAAATACATAGTTAACAACATGTTTGAATTATGGCAAGCCGATCTTTGTGATATGAGAAGCCTAGCGAAAAACAACAGAGGCTATAATTACATATTAACGGTCATTGACGTATTCAGTAAGAAAGCATGGGCAAGACCTCTCAAGCAAAAAACCGCAAATTCTATAATTGAGGCGTTTTCGTCCATTTTTGAAGAATGTGACAATACACCTGAAAATATACAAACTGATAAAGGAAAAGAGTTTGTGGCAGCAAGCGTACAACAATTTTTTAAAAAATACAATATAAATTATTATGTAACCCATAATCCCGACGTAAAAGCTTGCATAATCGAACGGCTGAATCGCACATTAAAGACGAAAATGCACCGCTACTTTACATATAAGAACACATTCAAATACGTGGACGTTCTACAAGATTTGGTGTCTGCATATAACAAATCCTATCATTCTTCGATCAAGATGGCGCCTGATGATGTGAACGAAGAAAACATTTTGAAAGTTTGGCAGAACCTCTACGCGAAGGGTTTTGGTAAAGAAACTCGACCTATATATAAAGTGGGACAACACGTGAGAATCACCAGAACCAAATATCATTTTGAAAAGGGATATGAGAGTAACTTTAGTCAAGAGGTGTTTAAAATTATTAAAGTTATAAAGAGACGTCCGCCTGTGTACAGAATAGTGGATTTAAGCGGTGAAGATATAGAAGGGACTTTTTATGAGGAAGAACTGCAGGCTGTTACGATAGACGAAGATACAGTATTTAAAATTGACGAGATTTTGGAAGAAAAAGGGAGAGGAAAAAACAAAAAATATTTAGTGAAGTGGCGAGGTTATAGTGACAAATTCAATTCTTGGATTTCTGCGGCAGAACTCAAAAACATATAAAAATGGAAGAAGAATTCTACATTACCTTGTTAAGCAACAGCTCACTTGATTATTTTCCTACCAATACAACTTCGCATTTTGTTACACAGTTGCCAAAACGTATAAGATTAAGTGGTAGTTGGGCCGTGGGTATAGCAGAAATACAATATCCTTGTGCGTTTGCGTCCATCAGTGAATCAGATAATTTAATTTACTACAGAGACTCCCCAATAAATGAAGTTCCGTTAAATAAAGTTTTAGAAAGTGCATCGACATTTTTCCGTAATAATTTCGGTTCCTCTATGTATAAAAACAGAGGATGGTACGTGATCAGACTTGATGCTGGTAATTACGAAAATATTGAAGATATTCTTAAAGAAATAAACAACCATGAAAATTTAGGAAAGTTAATCACAATAAAATATCACAGGATCACTAAACGTGTGGAGGTTGCATTGCGGATGCCTCTCTCAGTACTAGGTTTTTCCGAAAGATTAGCTTTACAGCTTGGGTATCGACCAGAACAAAATATTGTACGTGATCCCATACCACCACATCCCGCAAGTATTTGGTCAGGCTTACCCTCACAGATGTTCATTTATTGTGACATTGTGGAACCACAAATCGTAGGAGATGTGCTATCACCACTGATGAGATTAGTTAATATTACCGCCGAAAATTACATTTATGGAAGTCATAAAGACGTAGTGTTTTCGCCGACGCACTATATGCCTGTGATGACGAAGGAGTTTGAAAATATCGAGATAAATATAAGGACCGATACAGGCGCTTCTATGCCATTCGAGTTTGGAACATTGAGCTTAAAACTACATTTTAAGAAATGGACTGTCCGTACCAACAATACTACGTAAATCAGGCGGGGTCTGGTATTGGCACGATTTATAGAGGTGTGCCGTACCAAAGAGGTCATGGGATTGGGAGCTGGCTGGGCGGAGTGTTCCGTTCCATATTACCCTTGTTTAAATCGGGAATGCGCGCTGTGGGAAAAGAAGCTTTAAGAACTGGTACAAATGTACTAGGAGACATAATTGAAGATAAACCAATCAAAGAAGCGTTTCAAGAGCGAATTGGAGAAGCAGGAAGAAACCTTAAACGAAAAGCCGATGAAAAAATTGATACGTTAATGCGTGGATCTGGTTATAAAAGACCACACATGATCGATTACGGTCAGTATAAAGTTGCCGCGGAGAAGAAAACTACAAGGGTGAAAAAAGCTCCTAAGAGAAAAGTTGTTAAACTAAAATTCAGCGACATTTTCTCAAAGAATGGCGTTCCTTCACGCACAGTCATGTGAATGTATCAAGTCTGAGTTGGATTTATTTGCACTTCCCGCAACACAAACCAGTATCGAAGGTGGAGAATGGGTGTTTTACAAACCTTTATCATCACTATCAGACGACGCTCCGATTGAATTCGTGGTCCCCGGAAATGGAAATGATTACCTCGATTTAAGTCATACTATGCTCTACGTTACGGCGAAAATTCTAAAACAAGATGACACTGCATTGAGTACAGAAGATGTTGTAGCACCTGCCAACAATTGGTTACATACGCTGTTCAGTCAAGTGGAAGTATGTTTGAATCAGAAATTAGTGTCACCACCAAGTAATACTTATGCGTATCGTGCATACATTGAAACACTGTTGAATTATGGGTCTGAAGCCAAAGCAACTCATCTGGGGTGCTCGTTATGGCATAATGATACTCCGAAGCAAATGGACGCATTAACAACCGATAACAAGGGTTTCACCACTCGTCAAAATTCCACAAAACTAGGCAAAATGGTGGAAATGATTGGACATGTGCACGCGGATTTATTCAATCAAGAAAAGTTCCTCATAAATGGTGTTGAAATGAAAGTAAAGTTTGTTCGAACAAGAGACTCCTTCAGTTTAATGGCCGCTTCTGGATCAACATACAAAGTGAAAATTGTGGACGCCAGCTTGCTGGTTAGAAGAATGAAAATTAATCCGGTAGTTCTTCTCGCCCACACAAAAGCATTAGAAACCACTCCGGCAAAATATCCTATTAGTCGAGCGGATGTGAAAGTGCTGACCATTCCCGCAGGCCTTCAACGCAAATCATTGGACAACGTGTTCCTTGGACAACTACCAAAACGTTGCATAATTGGTTTTGTTTCGAATAAAGCGTTTAACGGTGAATACGCCTCTAATCCGTTCAACTTCCATCATTACAAGATTAATTACATGTCTTTGTACATTGATGGTCAACAAATTCCGTCAAAACCTTTACAACCAGATTTCACTCAGGAAGGATTATACGTAAGGGCCTACCACACATTATTTTCTGGAAGTGGAATACATTTTTTGAACGAGGGAAATAACGTATCACGATTGGATTACCCGCACGGGTACTGTTTAATGCCTTTCGATTTAACGCCGGATTTATCCGCAAACGCCACAACTCATTGGAACTTGGTGAAGAACGGTTCTCTCCGCATCGAAGTTGGCTTTCAAGACGCATTGACTGAGACAGTGAATTGCCTCGTATACGCTGAATTCGACAATGTGGTAGAGATAGACAAACACCGAAATGTCATCGCAGACTTTAACATTTAAAAAAGTTTCTTTTGACGACTCCCGGAATAGTGTACATTACATCTCTACATGGCCACATGCACACCACCAAGCTAGAAAAGGACCTTGGATGCAGTACGCAATAGATGCCGCCCGTTTCCAAAGACGAATTCATCAACTTGATTACATCATCTCCCCTATTTTGGAAAAAAAGCTAGTGCGCATGACAGAAGGAATAAAATTATAATGTTATAATTAATCACCGCAGTTTATAAGACGATGTTACATGTGATGGACGCTTACGTCGACTTTCAAGGATTCCGTGGCAGTTTAAAGGAGTTTATTCCGAAAGAAATATCAATCGTCTCGTCAGAGGGACCTAGTTGCACAACTTTACTGATTAAACCGCCCACCAATTATAGTGTAACATCATCTATGAAAAAAGAAATCAAATTCTTAGAAGACTGTTATCATGGATTGAAATGGGACTTCGGCTACATTACATTCGAGAACTTTGAAGAAGAAGTACGTACATTACTTCAACCCTTCAATAGAGTATACGTCAAAGGAGTGGAGAAGCAGTACTTGTTAAATTTCCTCGACAAGTTTGTAATTAATCTGGAAGACGTTGGGTGTCCGTCCCTAAAGAAGTTAAAGAAAAACCATAGTGGATTGCGCTGCCTCAATCACGCAGAGAACACGTTTATGTGCGCTCAAGAAAATGCATTAATTTTGTACGAATGGGCACAAATTGATTCCATCAATGAATACCCTAGAACTTCAACGATCGTTGAATCTGATTCAGAAGAAGGCTGCGCGTGCTGTTTTCGCATCAAATGAACTCCTACGTACAAGTGTACGACGCCCCTTCGCTACAATTGTCAATACAGACGTCTCAACACGGTCAGGGGAACATTGGAACGCAATTTATATAGATAAAGATGGAAATGGAGAATATTTCGATTCATTTGGTCGACCCCCAAGCGGATTACATCTCAAATTTTTGAAAAAACATACGCGGCACTTCACGTTTAACACGAAAGTGATCCAGCACCCCTTATCAACTTATTGCGGACAATATTGTATATTATATTTATTGTTCAAATTAAATGGTTTATCACTTAATGAATTTAGGGATATGTTTAATGACGATTTAGAATGTAATGATGATATAATTGATTTATTGTACAACACAACTTTTTATAAGCTTAATTTATTTGTAGAATAAACACGAAAATGAATTTGGGCGTTTTATTTAAAAGAAGTAAAATTGAAAGAAAAGGATCGGTTTCAGGTAAACACTACTTACTGTAAACGAACCCCTTATACTCTTTAACAAAAGACTTACAGTAGACACAATTATGCTAATTTCTACCGAAAAACGATTCCCGCTAAAATCATAGTGCAATTCATAGAAGAAGTTAATCCTGGCGCCTACCCTAATACCTGTGCTCCTGGCGCTAAAACGCCTTTGCTTATTTTTCATTTGCAAATGCATTCAAAATTTCTAGTTTTCAGAAAAGCAATCAAATAGTACAATATAATGACCATTAACCGGAATCATCTGGTATCCAATATTACTTAGTAGCCCTTTTATGAGTATCGGCTTAAGTACGGATTTCTCGTTTTAAAGTAAAAGTAAACAAGCAGAACAATATAGGACCCTTAATGTACATGGACTCTCATTTGCATTTCCCGAAATTATGTCTGAAATTTGCTACTCATTTTTTTTTCGTGCATCGTGTCCACTAACATTGCAGCGCCGTCCGCGACTCGTGTGTAGTTACTCTGTTAAACGTGTTTCTTTGTGAAATGGACAGCGAACAAGTTACCAAAATTAACCTCAAGGCCCTCAGGGAGCTAGCGGAGGATGTTGAACGGTTGCCAGGAGATGCTGTCCTGCACTATCTAACGGGCTTGGGGTGTCGAGCCGTCCCGCTGCAGAGGCCCCATGTAATGGCCTTGCGGGAGTTATGCATGCGGAGCGTACTAAGTACTGGAGTGCAACGGGGGTGTTTACCCAGAGTACTCGGGAATCAAGTTACAGCACTTCATGCCCGTCAGGTAAATCAGCGGGAAGAGGTGCGGAACCTTCGTCGTTCAGCGGCGTACCTCAATACGGAACGCGTAGAGTTGCATAACAAGGTGTTCGTGCCGAGGCTGTCCAGCAACTAGTTGCGTGGGCTGATGACAACCCTCTGAATGGAGCCGCCGATTACCCACAATTAGCTGTTCACTCCAGTGCTATTTTGGAGCTTTGTAGTGATAGTGTACGGGACTTAGTAAACAAATACGATGTCCTTCATGTGCGTGTTGGTGAGGTAACCGGTAGATACAATCACATTTTTTAAAATAGCTAAGTTAAGGTAGGTTAGTTTGTAAATATTAGTTTTAAGTTAGATTAGATTGTACATATTAGTTTTAAGTTAGTTTTTAGTGTGTACATATTTAGTTTTTAAGCTTGTACATATGTTCTGTGGATTTAGGCATTGTTGCAATAAATATAGGTAATTAAAACATGTTTGCTTATTTCTAGCTTCTATTTCAGAAAAGTGAAGTGAACTAAGTGCAATGTGTAAGACAGAGATAAACGCATTGAGTAAGAGAGAGAGAGAGAGAGAGAGAGGATAGAGATAGAGAAAAATTTGAATTTCCCGCCTTTGGCGACCATTTTGTCTTTAATTTTAGGATAATTACATGTGTGTAATTACTCATTACATATGTGCAATTATTTACTACATATGTGTAATTAGCTTCTTTATTATGCCTTCTAATTAAATTAATTAGATCAATCAAACCGCGAATTAAATTAATCGAAGGAAATTCCAGGAAATCAAACCGCGAATTAAATTAATTAGAACAAATTCCAAGAAATCAAACCGCGAATTAAATTAATCAAACCGCGAATTAAATTAATCAAACCGCGAATTAAATTAATTAAGCCACCGAATAAATTAATCGATCAAATCAAATGTCAATAAAGACCAAAATCCCACAATTTTTAATTAATTAACCAAATCAAAGTCCAAATTCCACGAAATCAACCAAAAACACCCCCGGCCACGTGGACGGCCCCCACCAATCAATTTAATTGACCTTGATTGACCCCGCGAATAAAATCCAAGATGGCGCCGGAAGTGTCGTGGTTCTACTCATTGTTGACCATTTCAGCTTGTATATTGCATATGTGTATATTAAATGGAGGCTACGGCAAGGATATTTTGGATATTAACATGGAATTAGAGGAACACAGACATGAGATTTATAATGACGTACGTAGAGAGAACATTGCTACAGCAGCTGTTGAAAAACGTAACTGCATTGTAAATAACTTGCCCTAGTACAAATATTTATTATGTCAAAAAAGTAAACAATAAAATAATGCAATTTTAACTATTTAGGAGTTTCATTTGCTTTTTCCATGACAACTGTAATTCGTTCAAGTAAATTTAAAAATCGCTCTTGGCGCTCTAATCTTTCCTTGTGGCGAGTTTCTACAGGGTTGCGCTTTCGTCGTTGCATGAATGTTTCATTTTCTGGTGTTGACGAAAGTGACCTTTTTGAAGTGGGAGATGGTGCTGCATTTCTGTCAGATAAGCCTGCATTTGCTGATTTGCTATTTATAATAATTCCATAAAATTATATTTTACAAACCTGCATTTACTAGCCCTTCTCGCACACTGCATGTTGCTACTTGGGTAATTTCTGGTTTGGACTGTAAAATCTCATTTAACACATCGTAATATTCCCGTAGTGTTTTGCATTATTTCCGCTTGTATTATTATGATCTCTCACACCTTTATACATAACTGTTAACCCTTTCCATTGTGTGTCGCATTGCTGGGCACTGATAGCAATCCTGCTCTGTTTGATAATTCCGTAGAAATTTTTTGTCACACTACTTTTTTTAACTTGGATTGAAATTCTTCACTGTGTTCCTTACATAACTTGATTAACATTGTCTTTGGTCCAAACTTTACTTGAAATTTCATTATCCGTCGCGTTCGTTTTGGTGTTGCCTAAAAATAAAGTAACCGATTAATGTTGTCGATATAATTATTAATTCTGTCATTACCGTGGTCTTTAGAAATGGCTTGTGAAGTTTCTGTTCTATCGGCCATATTGTTACTGCATTGTGCATGGAATAATAAGGACGCTGCAAAAGATTCATCTAAAAAATGAAAATTGTGTTAAATTTTCTGAAAGAAAGGTACATTGGTACGCCTTTGCATAATCCGTAGAAGTTAGTTGGATTATATAGTTTCTGTCATCTTCAGGATTATATAATACCAATTCATAGGCCTTTACGTTTATTCATTCAGGGTGATAAACTTGACCCAACTGGATTGCTCGGATAACTCGCCCAGACTAACAGATTCGATCTGTAATAAACGAACGGTCCTGTGTTTCAATCAAATTATTGATTGAGGTTATGCTTATGTTAGTACATTGCACACATTTACATAAACATGGATTTAACTACTAAGATTGCATGCGTTACCGCGGCAGTCGTCAATTATTATTCAGACAGCGAAGACGATTCATATTATACAATTAATTTATATAACCAACAAAAAAAAAGATACAAAAGGGTATGCATTTCGAAACTATGAAGAGGTTATCTGTCATTATACTATGGATGGTAAGCTTAAACCAATTAAAAAATTTGTAAAACTGAAAATTGTAGATTTCATAAGTCACTTTAGAATGCAAAGGTCAAGTATAGAAAATTCCAATGCATGTCCATGTAATAGTCATATGTTAGGAGACTCTGCGTACCCACTTAAACCTTAACTTACTTACCTCTTATAAAGATAATGGTCGCTTGACCCAAAAACAAAAAATTACAATAGAAAACACTCTTCAACGAGGGTTTTGTGGGCGGCATACAAGTAGACGATACAAAATAAATAATTCTATTTACACTTACATATTTACAATACTATATAACCAAGATACAACCAGTGGTCGATGCGGTGGATACGGAAGGACTGGCTTTTACCAACCTCTCGTACCGACAGGTACTCTGGATGCAAAGTTACGTATGCGCCATACAATATCTTTACTTAGTAGTCTGGACAATGCATCTGCGTGAGCTAAATCCTTGCCTGCCCATCTCTGTAAACGTGATGCTGTTAGGATAGGTAAATTTGCTTTTGATCCAAGCATTGTTTTGATAGGCTGATTATCCGTGAGCAATGTAAATTTACGACCGTATATGTATTTATGAAATTTTCTTATCGCGTACATAATGCCTAATGCCGAGTCCACACAGAGCGCTATGCTAGGTATGCTATAGACAATTTAAAATCAAAGTTAAGCGTTTCCTTACCAGTAAAGCGTTATATTCTGTGAATGAGTTTTTAAGCACACAAATATCACCGACAAACATATTATAAACTTTGTACGCTTACATGTATGTAGCTACCTAAAATATTATTTATGTATATGTTAAATGTAAAATCATTGTATCGTATAATGTGTATTTATGTTGTATGTTACTTTGTAGGGTAAGTCGGGGGAAGATGGCCATATGGGGAAGATGGCCCACTCAAATAATTCCAATGTTTAACGATCGATGGCGTTGCTGGTGCTGTAATATAGATCCTAGTGGCATCAGTTTGCTGTGTAGCATGTGTATTACGCACCACGATTGTTCAATGTAAGTATAAAATAACTTTGAATTGTTTCATTGGCTTGAATATTTTTCAACCACATACAAAACATTATATGATAGCATATGATACATGTTAGTTTCATGCTGCAGGTATTTTTTTTGTGGAAGTAGAAACTTTAGAGATGATCCTAACCTATAGTTCCGGTTGGTGCTGTAGTTATGCCGCTGCAAACCTGCTATGGCCATCTCTCCCAGACAAAAGGGATAGATGGCCATGTTTTCTCTGGGTGTGGTGGCCATGTAGTTAATTGCATTATTTTTGTTCTTCGTAGATGCCAAGAACGTATACCCCGAAGCACGTTCGATGCCGTGGCAATTGGAGCCAAAATGATTTGATACTTGCTATCGAAGCTGTGAACCAGAACAATTCCTCCGTCAGACAGGCTTCCATGACATTCGGCATACCGCGAAAAACCCTAGAGAGACGTTTAAAGAATAATAATCATCTGAAAGGCAGCATGGGTCCTGACTGTATGCTAGGGAAGGATAATGAAGCCCGATTTTCACAGCATCTGAAATTGATGCAAAGGCGGGGTTTTCCTCTTACAAGAGATGATCTACGTCGCATTGCTTACGAATATGCTGCTCAGATTGGCATTAAACATCGCTTCAATAATGAAACCAAGAAAGCGGGCTACGACTGGCTAAATGCGTTCTTGAGAAGAAACCCTGACATATCCGTAAGAAAGTCCGAAGGCGTTTCCATTGCCCGATCTCAAGCTATGAACCGCCAAGAAGTTGAAGCGTACTTTGAACTGCTCCGCACCACCCTCGAAGAGCATAACTTGTTTGATAAACCAGGCCACATTTATAACATGGATGAATCTGGTCTGCAGCTGAACAGCAGGCCCGGACATGTCCTGGCAGCAAAGGGTTCGAAAGCAGTTTCAACTGTTACTTCGACTGAGAGAGGAGAGACGATTACCGTCATAGGCTGCTGTAACGCTGAAGGGACAGTTTTACCACCAGCATGCATAATGAAAGGTAAAAACAAGAAACCAGAGTTTACTGACAATATGCCTCCTGGTTCTATCCTGTATATGTCTCAGAAGTCGGCCTATATCAACAGTACCATTTTCCTGGAGTGGTTAAGGGACCACTTCCTTCCTCGAAAACCAGCTGGGAAAGTGCTGCTAATTTTGGATGGCCACGGCTCACACTCCACATCAATCGAAATGCTGAATTTTTGTGACTCCAATGACATAATTCTATTATGTCTGCCGAGTCACACAACACATTATCTCCAGCCACTTGATAGAGCGGTGTTTAAATCCCTTAAAGGCAACTTTTACAACGCCTGCCGACTGTGGCTAAAAAATCATCCGGGTCGTCGCATCACGAGACAACAGTTTGGACAACTTCTGCAAGAAAGTTGGGGCAAATCAGCATCTAATGAAAATGCGGTTTCCGGTTTTAGAGCATGTGGGATTTTCCCATTTAACCCACAAGCGATTCCAGATTTTGCGTTTGCTATTGCAGACAACGGCGAACTGCCGGTTCCCGTTGATGATGCAGTACCCGAGAAGACTAAACAACCTAATTCAAAAAATTTGCGTGACCCGTTACCTGACAAACCCGAAAGAACAGAACTTAGGGAAGAAAAAGATGAGCCGCAACCTAGTACATCCAAAGAAATTCGTCACGTTCCAGAAGAGTCTCCAATGACAAAACTTCTCCACGGAATCTCTCCAGTACCGGTACTGGTACAGTCTGCCAAAAAGCGCGCAAAACAAGTTGCATCTCTTCTAACATCGCCAGAAAATCGTAAGGAATGTTTGCAGAAATCATTAAAGAAGAAACCAACCAAAGAGAAAATGATGGTGAAAACACCGAAGTCTCAAAAGAGAAAAACAATGCGTGACTCATCCAGTAGCGATGAAGCGGAGGTGGTGTTCGCTGAAAGTTCTGATAGTGCCGGTGAAGAGTTTAATGAAAACGAATGTGTAGGATGTGGTGAGTGTTATTTCTCCACGACTAAAACGGTCGACTGGATCCAATGCATTCGCTGTAACTTTTGGCTACACGAAACCTGCACCACTTTTGGCGACCACTGTCAAAATTGTGGTAAGATGAAATTGAAGGAAAAAAATAGAGGGCAAAACTATTCCTTACCTACTGGTTTTTACTGTTTATTTTTTGAATTAATTAATGATGATTTCATGTTTCATTTTAGCACCAATAAATACTTACCTTACGTTGTCGTTTGTACCCTGGCCATATTTCCCCTAGTAGTATGGCCATCTTACCCGATAGGTTGGGGAGAGATGGCCAATTGCATTGTTTTCGTTTTTGATTTTTATTTTAATCATTTTTTTTAAATAAAGTCTTTTTACCTCAGGATGTAGATTGCCGATACTTTAGGAAGTATATCCATGTAAGAGCGGTTCTTTATTGCAGTTTCTAGTGAAATTTTCATGCACGATATAAAACTATGGCCATCTCCCCCCGACTTACCCTATATTACTTTATATGTTATGCTTGACGTGCCACAAACACATCTACCAGATATGTAACGTGGTAAATAATAATAAATGAAATGAAATATGGTCGCTAAGTATGCGATATTCGCTAGATCCGCGGGATGACCCAACTGGCCGCCGCCGACTGGCCGCGGCCAACTAGCCGCCGCCAACTGGCCGCCGGGACAACTGGCCGCCGGGACAACTGGCCGCCGGGATAACTGGCCGCCGGGATAACTGGCCGCCGGGATAACTGGCCGCCGGGACAACTGGCCACCGCCCGCACCACCTACCTTTTGCCTAAATGCAGGGATAAACGCTTGATAAATCAACTAGTCAAATATTAGTCAACTCAAAAATCAAAACGCAGTTAGAATTTCCAATATAGAAGCAAGCAGATTTATTTCTTACATTTCCACTAATTTTAGAAAGTCTCGCAAATGAGACATTTATGCTAAGTAATTTCCAATATAAGTCATTCAAATGCATTTATTTGCTAATTTCCACTAATTACATTCTGATTACTAGATGATTTTAATATAAAAGCAAGCAGATTTACTTGTTTGTTAAATTTCCACTAATTGGACTATACATATTAATAGGTAAATTACAATAGAAATGTCAATTAATGAGATATTTATGATTAGTTACTTTGCAATATAAAATCATGTCGAAAGTATTTTCAAATCAGTTCATCTACGGCTATTTAAGGTATTCGTATGAAAATGGAGACTATTCAATCTCAACGTAATCGTGATAAGTTTTATAGTGACGGGTATATTTACGTTTTTGATAAATTATCAGCGGATGGTGAAACGGAGTTTTGGCGATGTGACCGAAGACGACAGTGTAAAGCGCGAGTTCATGTTCGAAACGGCGCTGTTATAAAAACTTTGAATGTGCATACACATGATTCATCAGCAGCCAAAGCAGAGGCTGATCGAGTAATTACTAAAATTAAAAAACGCGCTGTAGACACACAAGAACCGACATGTCAGGTAATCAGCGAATGCTCACAAAACCTCAGCTTGGCTTGCCAAGGAGCGCTTCCATCTCAAGGAGCTTTAAAAAACCTGGTGCGAAGAAAACGAAATGAAATAAACCAAGCACCAGCAACTCCAGCAACTCTTGAAGATCTGCAAATTCCGGAACGTTATAGAATCTACGAATCTACACCGGGCAACATAGAGAATTTCTTACTTTCCGACAGTGGCCCTGGACCTCAGAGAATATTAATTTTTGGCAGAGAGAGAAATTTACAAATTCTAGAAAATTGTGACGACTATTTTGTAGACGGGACTTTTAAAATTGCACCGAATTTATTTCACCAAGTATACGTTATACTAGCAAAGAGGTATGGAGGTGTGCATCCTGTTTTTTTTGCTCTGTTGCCAAATAAATCAAGAGCAACTTATGATTGTTTATTCGAAACAATAAAAACGCTAGCACCCGCATTACATCCAAGATCAGTTACATCTGATTTTGAACTAGCTGCTTTCAAAAGCCTGAAAAATAACTTCCCGCAAACTGAAATTCGAGGATGTTTTTTCCACCTAGCGAAAAACATGAAAAAGCATTTGAACGAAGCACATTTGATTGCTCGTTATAACAACGACGCAGAGTTCGCATTACATGCAAAAATGATCGTTGGTTTAGCATTTGTACCAATGCAAGATATGGAAAACGCATTAAATCAGTTGTCTGATATCTTACCTGAGGAATTGATACCTGTATTGGATTGGTTCGAGGACTTCTACGTTGGTCGTTTGAACCGCAGAGGAAACGGACGGCGTGAACCCATGTTTCCACATGAAATGTGGAATATGTATGCGAGAGTGCTGAACTTGCAAGATCGTACCAACAATCATGCCGAAGCAGCCCATCGGCGTTTACAAATCGAGCTAGGTATAGATCATCCTACAATATGGAGACTGATTGATGGGTTACGGAAAGTTCAAGCTAATCGGGATATTTATTACGAACAGCTTGTTGCTGGGCATGCTCCACCCCAAAAACTTCGGAGATACATAGCTGCCGACGAACGTTTTTTAAGAATCGTTAGAGATTACGAAAATCGAGA